CAGTTCTTGGGACATGGTCACTTGGTGTACCAAGTTCAGGTGGTAAATCTCTAGCAGGACTCAGTATAATGCCAGGAGATCTTTTTCAAATGGTATATAGTTTTCTGCTTCCAAATGTCATGTCTTTGCTGCAGAACCCTAAGGGTCTTACTGTACTGTTCCTATTTGGGCTGGTCAGAGACCAGTCAGTATTTGTTTTTCTTTTTTTCTTTTTTCTTTTCTTTCTTTTTTTTTAAGCACAGATACCTCTAGTATCATGGCTCTTTCTGAATCAGATGACCCAAATGGCAGTATTGCATTTACTATAGTTTGTACTTACTACAGAACCCTTTCTTGCTCTGGGCCCATTCAAAACTAGTAGCCTTCCATGTCATTCAGTAAATGGACAAGTGTAGCATTCCCAAAAGCAGCATATGTTGCCTCTGAACCTAAGGAGGCCTACTTTTATTCTTCTTCTTAAAGGTAGGAGGTTCAAAGTGCAACAATTTGTCCATCACTTTGGAGCAAGTGCCCTGGCATTCCTCAGACCCTAGTTCTCTAAAAATGTAACTTATGTGACTTAACCCTGAATCTTTGTAGAGTATTCTCTAACTCTGTAGAGTGCATATGTCTTATCATGCCATCCAGGGTACTTTTACTTCTTGTTCATCTGGTCTAGTTAACATGATTCTATCAGTATGGTGGACCAATATGATATCCTATGAACTATCCAGATGATTTAGGTTCCTTTGTGCTATATGATGAGAGAAAAGAGAAATAACATAGCCCTGTGTTAAGAATGAATATATATTTGTGTATGTCTCATGTGAATGGAGCCTATTTTTTATTTTCTTTCCTGATGGGTATGTAAACAATATATTTATTCAAATATGTACTCACCTACCACCTACCAGAGGCTGTGTTAATCTGCTCTAGTAAAGATACCACATTCAGCTTGGTTAATGTAATTGGGATGATTACTGGGCAGATGTCAGATTTATTAAGTAGAAATATAATGGGGCCCATGATTCTTGCATCATTTAATGTTTTGAGGGTGATATTAATCTTTATTGTCCCCACATTCAGGGTTGTGACATTGTTTTTTATTTAATGTCATGGACACTGGAGGGTTCTTTGGGGGAGAAGAGTTTCAGAGGCTTCCATGAGGCCTTTCCTATTATAATAGCTCTTACTTTATACATCAAGGAACTGATATACAGATTCTACTAACTGCTAATATATTCATTCTAAGTATTCATTTGGAAGTCATGGAGATGACTACTGAACCTACTGTGAGACAGATCTAAGCCAATTCCTTATTTTCTTATTATTACCTGAACCCCATAAACCCCTCTCCAACAGGGCAGCCACAATTGAACTCCTGGGTATCAGTGTCTACTTACTTCCTGGTTCCAATAGACCCCCAAAGTTCTGGGTATTCCTCTTTCCCCAGCTATTTGAGTAAAGAATCATAGATCCTTTTAGAGAAGGAATAGAGAAATCACTGCCAGATATACTTGTTATATTGTTGTAGGGTCCTTCCTTATGGGGACCTGGCCTCTCCTTCATTTTATGGGTTCTGGGATCTGAAAACTTAGTTCTGGAAATTGGAAAAGAGTAGTAACTTTCTTTCTTTTTTTAAACATTAAGCTTCAGTCAAAAATATATTTCTTATTTTATGGTACAGGATTGAAGGACAAGATGATACAAGTAAAGAAAATCTACAAGAAAAAATGACAAAACATTTTCTATTAAAGTATTGTAACATTCAAAGTTGAGTTGAAACATAACAAAAGAAACAATTGCAAACAAAAGTGTTTACAGATTTTTCAAACAAAAATAAATAAATACTGTTTAGCTCATGCTGATGGCTAGCAGGAAGTATCAGAGTGTAGTCTACTTGGGAAAATTATTAATGTACAAATAACAAACCCAAATTATGACTGCAGCAGTTTAATCATTGCTGCCATTTTTTGGTTACTTTTATTTTTAAATATATTTTATTGATTATGCTATCACAGTTTTCCCAATTCTTTCTTCCCCTTTATCCCCCCTCCACCATGTACCCCCTAATCCTCCAGCATTCCCCCCACTTAGTTCATGTCCATGGATTATACATATAAGTTCTTTGGCTTCTCTGTTTCCTATAGTATTATTAACCTCTCCTTGTATATTTTATGCCTACAAATTATGCTTCTTCTTCCCTGTACCTCCCCCATATTCTTCCCTTCCCCCTCCCCACTGACATCCCTCCATGTGATCTCCATTTCTCTAGTTCTGTTCCTGTTCTAGTTCTTTGCTTAGTTTTTGTTTTCATCTTTTTATGTTTAGTTGTTGATAGTTGTGAGTTTGTTGTCATTTTACTGTTCATAGTTTTTGATCTTCTTCAATTTCTTAGATAAGTTCCTTTAACACTTCATATAATAAAAGCTTCGTGATGATGAGCTCCTTTAACTTGACCTTATCTGGAAAGCACTTTATCTGCCCTTCTGTTCTAAATGATAACTTTGCTGGATAGAGTAATCTTGGATGTAGGTCCTTGCCTTTCATGATTTCGAATACTTCTTTACAGCTCCTTCTTGCCTGCAAGGTTTCTTTAGAGAAATCAGCTGATAGTCTAATGGAAACTCCTTTGTAGTTAACTCTCTCCTTTCCTCTTGCTGCTTTTAAGATTCTCTTTATCTTTAATCTTGGGTAACTTAATGATGATGTGCATTGCTCCTGTGTTCCTCCTTGGGTCCAAGTTCTTTGTGATTCTCTGGGCTTCCTGGACTGCCTGGAAGTCTATTTTCTTTGCCAATTGGGAAAGTTGTCCTCCATTATTTGTTCAAATATGTTTTCAAGTTCTTGTGCTTGTTCTTCTCCTTCAGGTACTCCTATGATTCTGATGTTAGAGAACCTAAAGTTGTCCCAGAGGTTTCTAAGCCTCTCCTCATTTTTTAAATTCTTATTTCTACACTCTCTTCCAGTTGGATGTTTATTTCTTCCTTTTGTTTCAAATCATTGATTTGAGTCCCAGTTTCCTTCCCTTCACTGTTGGTTCCCTGTATATTTTGCTTTATTTCACTTTGGGTAGACTTCATTTGTTCCTTCATTTTACAACCGAGCTCAATCAGTTCTGTGAGCATCCTGATTACCAGTGTTCTGAACTCTGCATCAGGTGAGTTGGCTATCTCCTTGTTGCTTAGCCCCTTTTCTGGAGTTTTGATCTGTTCTTTCATTTGGGCCATATTTCTTTGTCTCGGTGCATCTGTTATGTTGTAAGTGGGCAGGGCCTTAGATATTCTTCAGGGTATGGCAACCCTTTTTGCTGTGTTGGGTCACTGTCTGTGGGGGAGGGGTCAGAGAGGGAACAATGCCCCTCTCTTACTCTGCTGTAGCCCCACTTTCCAACAAACTCTCATGTGCGACTGGGAGTTTCTTCTGCCGTAGCAACCTCTGCAGTAGTTTACAGCTGACTTTGAGTCTTTAGTTTCCCATTCAGCCAGCCCCACCACACTAGCCCAGTCTGCTGCCTTGCAGCGCATCCTCTCCACTCAACTGCCAGTCTCCCATCTCTGCCCCTCCTGCTGGTCTAGGTGAATGTTGCTTTTCTGTTTGTTTGTTTTGTTTTTCTTTTTTTGTTGTTGTTTTTTACTGTTCAAGTACAGTTGTCTCTGTTTTCCTCCCACCACTTCCCCCACCCCAGCCATCCCTACCTCCCTCCCCTGATCCCAACCCCCCTTAGCTTTGTCCATGTGTCCTTTATACATGTTCCTTGACAACCCTTCTCCCCTTTCCCTAATTATTCCCTCCTACCTCCCCTCTGTTTACTGTCAGTTTGTTCTTAATTTCAATGTCTCTGGTTATATTTTGCTTGCTCATTTGTTTTGTTGATTAGGTTCCATTTATAGGTGAGATCATATGGTATTTGTCTTTCACCGCCTGGATTATTTTACTTAGCATAATGCTTTCCAGTTCCAGCCATGCTGTCACAAAAGGTAAGAGCTCCTTCTTTCTTTCTGCTGCATATCCATCGTGTAAATGTACCTTATTTTTTGTTGTCACAGTTCCATGCAGTTTGATTTTCTGGCACTTCTGGTTGTTGTTTATTGTTTTTAGATTGGTTGTTATTCTTCCTTTGGTTGTGCAAGGAAACAAAGCATTTCTACTTACACCTCCTTCTTGGCTGGAATTCTCATCACTGCCATTTTTTGTTCCAAAATAAAGCCTTGATTCAACCATTCATATTTTATATTACTCATATCTTTACTTCAGAGATTGAGGGACTATATATAAATGCATTTATTTTCACCATAAGGGTAACATATTGTACTTTGCCAATGTTACTTGAAAACTTTCCATGTCAAAACAATTTGACAGCAGATATAAACAATCCAATAAATACACAATGTCCATTGCAGTCCTTTTAAGATACATATTAATTCATGCTGTCAACCTTAGGATCACAGTGCATAGAATACAAATAGAAATGAGTTGGGGTGACTTTCAAAGTACAATAATGTTGGATCCCTCACTTTAATTTAATCCCATTACAACCAGTAAATTCATGCCGTAGGCCCTATCATGCATTAATCATCGGGTGGCAGGAGTTAATGAAAATGTTTCCTGTTTTGATGTCCACTGCTGACATTGAATGTCCTGAAGCCACCAAGGAAATCATTTTTAGTGCCCAATACATGAGGACCTGGGACTTTTCCAAAAGCTTAAAAATAAAAAATGAAAATATATTTGACATTTCCTGACACCTTCATTAATACTGTTTGATTAATAAAAGCATGTCTACTTCCTGGACTGAACCAGCAATCAACATGCACCCAGAATGCACAAGAAGGAAGTATTCCTCATTGCATATGGGTCACTTCCAGTCAAAGGTTAAAGTTCAAATATTGGATGATCATTTTTTTCAGCAGGACTATCTTCTGCTAGGAGTATGATAATATTGGCATCAACACGTATCACCATGATACCACCATTTTGTTTTCTTTGGATTCTTGTTACATTTTTGAACATAAAAAGAATTAGCTAGTAGTTGTGTCTTTGCAGCTGGAAAGTATGCTGAAAATACTAAGACAAACTGGTTGGATTGAAAGCACTGGGGACCAGTCCTTTGTTAGAATGGATACACAGATATGACCATTGCCATAAACATAAAGATGAATGGAGATGTTTTCACCAATAAACATGACCTGAAGAGAGTCAAAAAGATATTGACTACTAAACTTAAATGGAAGTTGAAAATTTCCTCCTTCATCTAAGGTTCCTGGGGCACCTTCCATATATACAATCCACTTTGTAATTAAACTTTGAACACTCTTTTCATTCAAAGTCATCCTGAGGGGTGGATCATTTTGCAAAGCCAACAGTTTGTTTCTACAGTCACTTCTGCATTGATACTATGATGGAACCACCTCTGCCAAAAAGGTTTGTGACTTTTCATTGGGGCAGTTGACCTCTGTCTTGTTCTATTTTGGCTACTATAACAAAACACCAGAGACTTGGTGACTTATAAACAATAAACATTTATTTTTCACAGTTCTGGAGGCTGGGAAATCCAAGATCAAGGTGATGGCAGATTCCCTGTCCAGTGGTAACCTGCTTCATGGTTAATAGAAGGCCATCTTTTTGCTGTAACTTCACATGGTGGGAGGAGTGAAAGAGCTCTCTGGGGCCTCGTTTATAAGGGCACTAAACCTATTTATGAGGGCTCCACCTTCGTGACCTAATCACCTTCCAAATTTCCCACCTCCTAATACTCTCACACTGAGGATTAGGTTTCAACATATAAAATTTGAGAGGGACACAATCAGTCTATAGCAACCTCAGACTTCTGCCTTTGTTAATACAATGAGAATGGTTTGCGTGACATTGATGTAAACTGACAGTCAAGGAGAGTGGACTGGATTGCTCATGCATGAACAATGACAACTTCATTGTACTAGTCAGTGGGGGCAGTAGATGGCATTGAGTGAGCATGTGTACTGTGTGGCCATTGCATTCAAAATGACTGAGTGAGTAGAACAATGAATCTGCATCAAATTTTGCATTAAGCTTGAACATTCCTCTGTGGAAACTATTTGTATGATCCAGAAGGCTGCAGCTATGCACAACTGGTGATTGGCAGCTTCATCATAACAATTCACCCACTCATGTATCATGTTTTGTGCAGAGGTTTTTGGAAAAACATCAAATCACTTAGCCCCCATACAGCCCAGATCTGCCACCCTGAGACTTCTGGCTTTTCCCAAAACTAAAATCACCTTTGAAAGGGAAGAGATTTCAGACCATTGATGAGATTCAGGAAAAATATGATGTGGCAGCTGATGATGATTGGGAGAACTGTGTGAGGTCCCAAGGTGCCTACTTTGAATGGTACTGAAGCATCATTGTTCTATATACAATGTTTCTTGTATCTTGTATCTTCAAAACATGTCTCTGTTTTTCATATTACATAGCTGGATACCTTCTGGACAGAACTTGTATATTGGCTGTTCTGTCTTGCTCCCTAGGGAAACATTGTTCCATGAGTTATCTCATCTCATTAGGACCTGTGGGTCAGGCATTCCTTGTGACATTCCAAACTTGCTTTTCACTACAATAATTATGCCAGCTTTGCTTCTGATGATTAAGTACTACTACTTGGCCTCACATATTACAGAATCCTATAATTTCTAATGCCACTAGGGAGCCTAGTCCTATAATAGCATCTCCTACTCTTATCATCAGTCTGGCTCACATTCCTCTCCTCTTTTCTCCCTTTCTCCCTCCATCCCTCCCTCCCTTACTTCCTCTCTCTCCCTTCCTCTTTTTGTTTCTCTAGTGAATAAATTCAAATTCTTGTTCATTTTTTCTTTTGAAGGAATTTTGTATTTATGGCAAAGAATTTCTCAAGGGTGTTTAGATTTCCTACTGTTTTTTTTCTAGTCATTTAGAGAAAAACTTAGAGCAATTTGTTCCACTAGAGGGATCTATAATTTTCAAAGTGTGAGTAGTTTGCTGGTGGCTTCAGAAACCAAACAGCAAAATAAAGCTGATTGATGCTTTGGCTTTATTACAATTCTTTGCTTTAAAAGGGAATAAGGCCTCACTAGACAAATTGCAGTATTGCTTATCTGAGCTAAAATATTTAGGGCATCTGTTGTCAGCTGTAAGCCACAGAGTATGACAATCTAGGAGTCAACACATTTTGCAAGTCAAACAGCCTATAAAAAATCTTAGACAATTGTGAAATAGACAGTGGATTCCAGTTTTTGCAGTGGCTAAAACCTCTGATGAAGCAATTGCATGATAATCCTCCAGAACTTTTGTTTTGGTCCCTGAAATTTGAAGAGGCTTTTGAACAAATGAAATTGACTATGGCCTCTTTCCAGCTTTGAAGACTCCAAATTTTGAAAACTTTGACCCAAATTATATGGTATTCTTGTTCAAAGTGCATATTTAATATTTAACAATAAACAACATACGGTGGCTGAAAGTGGCCCACTTAAGGTCTCCTATGCTGTAATGACTTATGTAGCTTTGGAAGCTCATGTTTTGGCTGAAGTTTACCCTGTATAAGAAGACACGTTTAATAGCAGTTACAAGAGCTGTAATTCTTGGTTCTGGACTTACAATAAACATCAAATACAAATTACTAATAAGGATATGTTTGGTGTTTGTCATGCAACAGGACAATTAAAATGAGATAATTTTTACTTTATTAAAAACTAAACACAATTTTGTGGGAAACTGATACCTGATTTGTTAGGGGCTTTACAGCTACTTGCTTGGATACCAGTAGTTCATTTTTCTGACAGAGCTGCAAAAGCTGTTGTTAAAATATGACAGACTTCAAGCTTAGAAGCTTCATTCTTTTTAAAAAATATTTTATCTATTTATTTTTAGAGAGAAGGGAAGGGTAGGAGAAAGAGAGGGAGAGAAACATCAACTGGTTGCTTCTCCCATGCCCCCAACCAGGGTCCTGTCCTGCAACCCAGGCGTGTGCCCTGACCAGGAATTGAACCAGCAACCTTTCAGTTGGCAGGTCAATGCTCAATCCACTGAGCCATGCCAGCTAGGGCAGAAGCTTTATTCTTAATAAGAAATATTTTTGTAATTGTTCATTAAAAAATGTGTTTCACACCCTGGCTGGTGTGGCTCAGTGGATTGAGCGTGGGCTGCGAACCAAAGTGTCGCAGGTTCGATTCCCAGTCAGGGTACATGCCTGGGTTGCAGGCCATGACCGCCAGCAACCGCACATTGATGTTTCTCTCCCTCTCTTTCTCCCTCCCTTCCCTCTCTACAAATAAATAAATAAAATCTTTTAAAAAAAGAGCCTTAAAAATGTGTTTCACAAAAGGAAATAGGCAAATGGATTTAAAAGGGAGCTAAATTTGATGGGGCTAAGAATAATCCTAATGCCCCAGGTAGTGTTCTGTGCCATCAATGAAACCATCTGAATAAAAAAAGGATTTTAAAGGCACTAGACTCTTACTACCCAACTAAAAAGATGAATTTTTTCAAAACATATTAAAGAGATGTGCTAATTGCTAGCAAAATTATAGGCAACTCCATTGTAGACACAGGAAGATCTCTTTAACTGACATGACTTGACAAGGAGCCTGGTGGCAGTTGGATTTCATAGATTGTTTGCTTGTAAAAGCTAAGGGGTTTTATCTCCTTATGGTATGTGTGACATTTGGATGGCCTGAAAACTTTCCCACTTCAAAAGCCAATGTTCAGGCAGTGATAAAGCCTTTTTTACTACACATAATTCCCACTTTGTGGATATTAGAGTACAATGACAAGCACAGAGGAAGTCATTTTATTTTTCCTGTTATCCAGGAATTATGCAAATGTTTGAAGATTCCTGTAAACCTCAATCTTCTGGATATGTACAGCATATGACTCAAATTCCTTGGCTAAGATTCAACAATCTATCAGATTAAAATAATCTAGAATCATAAAAATTAGAGTGAACCCCTGCAACAAGCAGGGATGCTTTCCCTCTGAACTTAGTTTGGCAGGTTACAAATTTTAGTCTGAGACCAGGTACTGTGCCTTATTTAACTGAATCCTCTCACAATCATGTTCATTACTTAGAAGGGCCCCTCTCTTCTCTAGAAACCTTGAGACTTAAGGTCGTAGTACCTGGAACGACCTGCCTGAGGAAGTGTACCACCCTACCAACTGGGAAACTTCATTTACGTAAAGCTATTCCAGGGGGAAGATAGCTGTCACCCTCAGGGTTGAAAGGGGGCACTTTCAAGTGCTGCTGGTTACCCACAGAGTTATCAAAGTGAAGAAGAAACTCAGCTGGATTCATACTTTTCATATGAAGCCAGCATAGCATGAGGACTGCACTGTGGTCCTCACGAGTGAATTTTATAAAGTAACAAATTTTGATACTGAACTCACCTAAAAAGTTATCCTGGAAAATGGATTACTAAGAAAACAAATGTTGTTACACCATTTTTTCTTTCTACTCTCCAGCGACATATTTCCAACCAGCTCTGAATTGTGTTCCTGGAATGGACATGATTTGTATTTATAAATACAGCAATCTGATAATTGGCAAAGTACAAGTGGGACCATCATAATTAATGATTTGTAACAAAGGAAAAGTAGTACACATCAAGGTACTCAAGTAAATTTAACACAGAAATGTTTTGTTAAGTGGTTTGATTGAAAGGCTGACATAGAAAAGAAAAATATTTAATCTGTATTAAAAGAAAAGCATTTTTATCTGTAGATACCAGAAGACAGGTTTGATATTGCTAGATTAACATAGGGAGGCAAGTTCTCTCCAGTCACAGTATAGATTGATAAACAAAGGTGGATGATTGTTATTTACAGAGATTCAATTGACTGTTATAATAATATAAGTATTGATTTAGACCAGTGTGAAAGGTGGCCCATAGAATGGGATTGCCCTCAAGACTTAAAACATTAGAGCCATGTACGTTAAACACTGGGACTTCCATCTGTATTCTTGAACTGGTACCTCCTAATAAGACTTTAATTCCAGCCCTGGCTGGTGTGGCTCAGTGAATTGAGTGTGGGCCTACAAAGCAAGGGGTTGCTGGTTCGATTCCCAGTCAGGGCACATGCCTTGGTTGTGAGCTAGGTTCCCAGTAGGGGGAGTGCACATCAACACATGATTGATGTTTCTCTCCCTCTCTTTCCTTCTCCCATACCTTCTAAAAATAAATAAATATTTTTAAAAAATACTTTGATTCCAGATGATGGACATGGATATTTTTGTATTTCACATCTAAAAAAAATATGTGGAAAGATGAACAATTATTGAAGTACCTAAGTTATCATTTAAATGTGATGTTACTTATACTGTATA